GAGAGAGAGAGAGAGAGAGAGAATTCCTATTTAAAAGCACCTTTTTCGAGTTATGATTGCAATTGCATATCCAACTAGAGCACTAGTTCTTAACCTTGTTAGACTCAAGGCATCCCTCACTAGACTTAAGGCAACCAATGGAAAATGTCAGCTCTTAGTTTACGTTTGCTTTTTGACTAAATAAAAATAATAGAGTGATTCTTGTGTTACGAAGAACTCAGGAAGACTACAATGGGTCAGAATTTTTTTTAACACTGTGGATTCATATTTGAAATCTTTGGGTTCATCTTGTGAATTGTGTTCACACACTTAACAGTCTAACATTGTGTGGCTATCCATAGCACTCCTGAGTGGATCTCTGCAGCACTCTGGTTGTGAATCACTAGTTTAGAGAGCATGGTTAGCATGTTGCAGTTGTAACTAACTAAATGTTTGCAAGTAAAATGACAAGTGAAAAACAAAAATGTTATAAAGAATAAATTAGAAGGCAGTAGTTCAAAACTGCTTCAGAAATGTGTACTCACCATGCCAAAACCAATTGGGAATCTCTTTAGAAGTGTTAGTACGGCTTTAGAACCCTAATCACTTACCAGTTTGCCTACAAGCCCTTCAGCAGAGCTGTTAGTCATGAAAGGTATAACATTTACAAGTTTTATGTAGCTCTCAAGCTCATTTTTTTTCTATAGCTAGTAGTTTGTCAAGTACAGCTGAACTATAACCCTTTCCATGGTTCACCTTAAGGCCTAGTGAAAGGAGACCATCTGGAATTCTTAGTTTTACTTTTGAAATGCTGAACCAGGGAGCTATTCTGACTGATATCAGCTGAATATTGAGCTTATTGTCCATGGCAGCAACAAAAAAAAGTATGTAATTAGGTAGGCACTACCAAAATTTCTTAATAATGGGCTCCTTCAGGACTGCTGCTCTTGTGATGTACACGTGGTCCAGTGTATTCCGCAATTCCATAATTGTGAAGCGTGGGTTTTGGTTTTTCTTAATCCTTATTTTTAAGTATTAGTAAGAATTGGAAAGAAAACCTGGTGAATTTTAACTAAATGTAAAGCCACCTATGTGTTGATAATATCCTATATCAGCAGGCAGCCTGGGCTGATGGAAAGCCCCCCCCCATGAGGCTTCACGCAGGTCTGGCAATTTGGCAGTGGGAGAACGGTGATACAGCTCCTCTGCTGCCAAACCTCCAGACCCATAGGAAGCCCCAGATCCTGCACACTGGATCTGGCACCCAATCCCAGCGCACAGAGCTGGGCAGAGGTGGTGTCAAGCCTCAGGGCTAGACGCTCTGGTCAAATCCTGGAGTGCAGGGGATGGGAGGGGGTGGTGCTGGGCCCCAAGGCTTGATTCAACCACCAAATGGGCCCTTCCCCACTCGCATGGTCCGTGGGGCTGAGAGGCTGAGCACCGCTGCCTTACTTCATCTTCCAAAGCCCTACAGCCTCCCTCTGAGAGTGTCAGTATAAAATTCCTCAACTTTGTTTTTGAACAAGCAAAAATAATCTTAACTCAATATCAAATGAGACCCTGTCAGGGGTACTAACTCCCTGCAGAATACATGTATATATTATGGTCTGTTTTTACTGGGGAGGTGTCTCCTTCTCCGGTATGAGGACTCCTTGATTCCCCTAAAAGGGTGGAGCTCGTGGGAGGACTTACTTGTCCTCTGTCCTGCTCTAAGCACAGAGGCATCAGATGGGATCTTCAGGAAGGATGCAGCCTCTGAGGCGTAGCTGTCCCTGGCTAATCTAATCCTAGCCACCCACCCAGCATACTTTGACTGGACCCTCCACTGGTGGAAGGGAAGAACAAGGCAGAGATCTGAGGTTGGCAGGAAGTACTGACCAAGCAGGATTGACTTGCACTGTTCAAGAGACAAAAAAGGGGAAATCAAGGAGGGCAATAGCCAGCAGAGGGAAACAGTTGAAGCAGTTTTGCATGGTCCATATTGTCTTCACTGTATATTCAGTCGTGCCTTCCTACATGGGCGCATGGCCTGCTTGCACTGCAGCACTTGCTTCAGGCTTCCCACCTACAAAATGAATTAATAGAAATCTCTGCCTCTTGGAAAGGGTTGGGAGGATAAATTAGAAGTGCAGCACTTTGAAGATGTTACAGTTTTGGGCCAGGGACAGGTTTGATAGGACGGAGTGTCCTGAAAAACCGACACAGTTTGCATGAGTGCCCATGGCTGCCAAGTCTTTCCAGGTCCCATCAGATACTGGTGCCATCACCACCCTCAGCTCTAGCCGTTGTGTTCTTGGACCAAGCTCAGCCCTTGAAGGAACTGGACACAGGTCAAAACAAGCTTGGTGTTCCCTTCCAGGTGCTGCAAAGATTACCCATGAGTGGTCAGTATTGTGCAAAGCATCTGTTGTTGTTGTTGTTGTCGTTACAAGACATTTGCCATAAAGTTATTTAAGATTTGAAAAAGCAGCAAGGTCAGAAATCTAAGCCAACTATTATTTCAACAGGTTGACATTTCTCTTCTGCAACAGGATCTTTAATTGCTATCTGCGTATTATAAGCACTTTCTATAACACTCCAAAAACATCTTTTCTTTTTTCAGGCTGTTGTGTGCTGTTTGCCTGAATTGCTAGCATTTTAGAAGATAAAAAGAAAAGAATACAGTTTCTCTCTCCTTTATCTATTTTTCCTTCTGCATTTAATGAAATATTCTTGTAGATGTCCCCGTACATTTACATTAGCAGTAGGAGATATAGGTTGAAAGTTCAATGAGTTTTCAATGGTAGCAAGTTGTAATTAGCTCTTTAATTATATACATTAAGTATCAAAGCTTAGTAATGTGTTCCATGGATATGCAATTTAATGCATTTGTGGCTCTGTTTTGGCTATGGAATTTTTTTTTCTCTGACAACTCAGACATATCCTTCTTAAAGCAGTCATTTTGTAGCTGCGGCTGTTTCTAATGTGTTAATTCATTTTTTTGCAGAGACTTTGCTTATGTAGCAAGAGACAAAGACACGAGAATTTTGAAATGTCACGTATTTCGATGTGACACACCAGCAAAAGCCATTGCCACAAGTCTGCACGAAATCTGTTCTAAGGCAAGTGAATTTAAATAACCTATTCTTTTACTAACCACTTGAGTAGTCCTGAAGGGTGCTATATAATCAGTCCTCTATTGCCGTCTTTTGTTCTTATTTTTTATCTCTGATGAGAAATGACTCTAAGAATTTTTGGAAGGGGTGTAAGTGGCACCAATAAACTGTGGAAAGATGAATGTTATAGATTCTTGAAACCCATGATATCTCTGGGAATTGGGCCAATGTGTATAGTCTAAAGATTTTTTGCTAATATAAATGGAAGTTGTGGGATGTTAAGTAGAAAAATAATAATAGCAAATTATATCTCAAATGTCAAATACTAGATTAAATTATGTTCATTTGGGAACTAGTACTTGAAAAGAGCTGTTAAAATGGTATCATCTGTTTAAAAGCCCTACTTCTGTCTAAATTTTTTTGCCTACTACATGTACAAGTAATACAGGAATCTCCTGCAGTATTTGTAGCAGTAGTAAGTGCAGATTAGAGACTGGGTTTCCTCTTCCTATATCTGTCATGGATGTAGGGAGCTTGGAGTTCTATGCCTCAAAAAAAATTGTAAGTAAATAAAGGAAAACTAATTTTAGTATCTTAAAAGGATGCCTTATAGTCGCATGCATCTGATATATTGTGGACTTCAGAGATTAGGGTTGTAATAAGAGTAAATTTATACTTGTAGTTGCTACTATACTATATGTTGGAAAAAATGCTGTATTATCGCCGTCTTCTTCAGATTATGGCTGAACGGAAGAATGCTAAAGCTGTGGCTTGCAGCTCATTGCAAGACCGGACAAATGCCACCCTAGATGTTCCTCTGCAAGGTACTGTGTCAGAATTTAATCTCCATGTCATGGCCCCATTTTAGAGAGTGCCTGAATAATATTGTTTTTAACTAAAATGTAGTAGACACAAAGGTTACCAGGATCTTTTAGATACTGTAGCTGACAAAGTCTTTGTTACATTAAAAATATGTTATTGTTTGTGTTCAAAGTAATGCAGTCTTGTTTGGTTATATCCACTTGTTCATTTCCTCTGATTTACTTTGATACAATTTAGCCATGGAAACGCTATGCCAGACTGGTTTACAAGTAAAATGTATTCCAATTAATCATAGGTTTATAGCAGAGGAGTTATAGCAGATTCAAACTTCTTCTGGGTTTCAGCATCAGTTGTAAGGTTCAAAGCCTAAGAGGAGGCCAATCAGCTGCACCCCTTAGTGCATCATAAAAGAAAAGTGGCTTTGTGTATTTTTATTAATGTAAGGTTAATAGCAGAAGGTTTGACAGCATTCCAGATTAGATATACAAACGTCTTCTAGTGAACTTAATACAAAAATGTGTTAAATCCACTAGCTTTCATCAGATATCTCAACCCTCATTTTGTCATGGGTTTTTTTTGGGTGTGGGTTGTTTGTGGGTTTTTTGCATCAGTTGCTGTTCAGACAGAGATACTGGTTTGTCCTGGCGCACAGGTGGGACATTTAGTAGGTATAGCATTAAAAATAGAGTGCCCAGTTGTATGGTATGTGAGACTTGCTCTGTGTGCCTTAGTGACATGTTTATACAAATCTAAGTCGCCTTATATCCTAGTGGTAGAACATGACCCAGTTTTAGTTTACAGAAATTAAGAGTTGTATCACCTCCTCCTCCATTCCCTTAGAAAGTACTTGGTGTATCCCTCCTGTCTAAGCTGGAGGGGGAGCAGATCCATTGTAATCAATACAATACCTTCTGAGTGCAGTTCCCTGGTAAGCTATTTTCTATGGTCAGTGAAATAAAAGTATATTTTACCTGCTGTGAATGTTGATAAACAGAAATTGATTTTTTTCCCATGCAGTAGATTTCCCAACACCAAAGACAGAGCTGGTACAGAAGTTCCATGTGCAGTACTTGGGCATGTTACCTGTAGCTAAGCCTGTGGGTATGTAATACTAGTGCTCTTATCTAACCATAGACATTACTTGCATAGTATCTAAGGGCTTGATTCTGGCTAGCCATAGCCAGATGGGCAGAGAGCAAGGAGCAAAAGCACTCTTTACTTGTATTCCAGCAACATACGACTCACTGCTAGGCCTGCAAAGGGAAAGAGCATGGGGCTAGCCAGTGCATGTGATCTCGCTCAGACCCACACTTACTTAGGCAGGATGCTGAGGGGCTGCTGCTGGGGCAAGGCCCTTTTGTAGCACCTTTCCCCAGGAGAGTAAGGGGAAGGCCTAAAGGGATAGAATGAGACACCTGAATGACCTGCCACCCTCTTAAGTGTCAGGATTCTGGCAGCTATTCTGCTTTTATAGACTGAGAAATAAAATGTGAACTAATAACATGAAAATCTTCTGAAACCCATTCCCTACCACCACCCCCACCAAACGCCCGGTAGTTCAGAAGTCTTTTTTCTACTTCAGCATGGAACTAATACCTATTTTATTCTTTTTATTTATGACTATTATAATCCTGGCTTTTCTTCCCTTTATACTTTAGGAATGGATACACTGAACAATGCTATAGAAAGTCTTATGACTTCCTTGAGCAGGGAAGACTGGATGCCAGTTACCATGAATGTTGCTGATGCCACCGTCACAGTCATCAATGAAACAGTGAGGCAGAAATACTTTGTTTAGAATGAATTAGCATACTAATCTGAATATTGCAATCTCAGCAAACTAGAAAAACCCATCTGTAATAGCATTTCCTAGAGTTTATTCCATTATTTGACATCTTTTCAGTGCTGTATCTCTATGCAGATGAGTGCTTTTTGGTAGACAGAGAGATTAAAGAAGACATTAAAGAAGCTCCTGGTTTAGTGTTTAACACAGTGCATCAAGTATCTTACCTGTCACTTTGTTTTTGGTATAGTTTTATATGCCCTTCAAAATATACCCCTAGAAATAACTGCAAATATTTAGTAGGGAGAAAGCAAAGTATTAGCCAGAGAAAACCTAAGCAGGGTGCAGGGTCCCACCTCCAGACACGGGGAATATGGTGGTGGATTCGGCAGCAAGAGGCTGGGGGGCAGGGTGGGGGGGCTGCTGAGCGGCCAGGCGTGAAGCCAGCAGCAGCGTAGTCGCCGCGGCCCTTCCACCTGGCTCTGCAGGGCCTGGGGCAGTTGCCCCAGTTCACACCCCACCCCTAGGGACAGCCCTGGTATTAGCATTACCTTTTACTAAGAGTTTTAAGCCTAATGTTGTTGGACTTAAACCCCAAACTGTTGTCCTACCCTACCAGGCTGTACTCCTCTCTTACTCTCTGAGCAGTGAGAGCAGTTTCTTTTAACCTGTTTCATGCTGCTGCTGCTCTATAGAGCATTTCCCCAGATATACCAGTAAGAATGAATCTTTAAGAAATACATCTCTCTCCCTGCAGCCCTAAATTACCCTTCTTTCTCAGCACTGATGATTAGGAGAGTAAGTGATAATTAGGGGATAACTAAGGGAATTTTTTTTTTCATGTCTGGACCTGATATATTTTTTTAAGCCACCACAGCCTCTCTTATGGAAGACATATACCTAATATGAGTTGCAACCACTGGAGTCTTGCTTTTCTCATTAGTGTTAACCTAAATTAACCTTCAGGGTTAATTTACCTTAGTATCTACCTTGCATGTTGATGAAGCTGTAGGTATACATCATATTAATTTGGCGTTACTTCTGGCATCTTATTTGGGTATTTATCAATTCAAAATGTATCGGCTACATTGTACTAATGATGAATAATCATTACCCCTTGACCAGAATGAAGAAGAAATCATGGTGGAATGTCGTGTACGATTCCTGTCCTTTATGGGAGTGGGCAAGGATATCCATACATTTGCCTTCATTATGGATACAGGAAACCAGCATTTTGAGTGCCATGTTTTTTGGTGTGAGCCAAATGCAGGCAATGTATCAGAAGCTGTTCAAGCTGCTTGCATGGTAAGTGATTTTTTACAAATGGAGCTGTAGTGGTCACTGACTCTTTCACTCCTTCAAATTGTAATCATTCCAGAGTTGCAGTTCGTTCCTGTGGTAGTTGAAAAGTGATGTATATAATACTTCAAATATAAACATTCTTTGAGATCTTCAAACTTAAGTAAGGGAATAAGGCTCCTATTCTAAGCTTATCTCCCGTCCCTTTATTCTCATTATATGATTCTCTGGCACTGGGCAGTTTGACAGACATTTTACAAGTAATGATAAGCGCTGGGCCTCTCTAGCACCTTGCCAAATTGGAGTAGATATTCAAATTATAGACGTAAATTGACCTATGGGAAGTTTTCATTTAAAAATCAGACTCTGAAATTTGACATGTGCAATTCATCTTTAAAGGCCCTGAGCTCCGTGGCATTATTGAAGGATTTCAGGTAACAAATATACAGATCTTTCAGCATGTTTTTAAAAGAAGAAAAGCAAGAGCATATTTGTATTATAGTATTTTGTACTGTGGAGTCCAGAGCATTTGTATTCCTGTGGTTTGCAACCAGCTTAACTCACAGCAGGTTGCTGAATTAAGGACAAAGCAGTGAGAGAGAGCTGAAGGAGAAGCAATGCCTTTGAAATAAAATCTTCACCAAACAGCTGGAACACTCCAGACATCCTACAGAGCTGTTCACTATAGTTCTGTGTACCTTGGTTACTTTGCAAACCCCTTGTCCTTAGAGGGCAGCGGTGGCAAGATAAGACTGTAAGCCTGCCAAATATCTAGGTTGTGCTGTACTACCATAGGCACAGATACTTGTTCAGTGGTATCTAGAAAAGCAGAATGCACCTAAAAGCTTTGGATGGTCTATGCAGCAGTGCTCAGGAGTCCAAACAACAGGCTAGGCCCTCACTGTACTGGACACTGTGCAGACAGAACAAAGAGATGGTCTCTTCCCAAAACAGCTTCCAGTCAATGTCAAATTGTGCATCAAAGACAAATGCAAAGGTCTGCCCAGAACCATTTATCAGTGATTTTAGTGTTGTTATGAGAGCAGTCATTGAACCTGTACAGTTGTAGAAACTAGCACCACATAAGCTTCTAAAATAGAGGTTCATATGATGCTTTAGGCCGATCTGGAAAACCATTCTGGCTTTGAGAGGCAGAACAGCAAAAGCTCCATTGGTTCTCAAAAGACTTGCTGTGAACGATATCCATATAAGATGAAGACCATATGGGGGGACAGCACATGTCCCAGCCCAGAAGCTGTTGCAGGAGCCCATCGGGGCTTCCCCTGGGTCCTACTGCCCCTGGTTCCTGTCATTTTTGACAGGAACCAAGGACAGATGAATTATTAATTTCCTAAATTTTTTAGGTGCCCCATGGGCTGGATAGAATGGCCTCATGGGCTGGATCTGGCCTGCAAGCTGTATTTTGCCCACCCCTGTTTTAGGGTAAGGCTCTGTGCTCCAGAGCCATTTCTACCCATAGATATGCTGGCCCCTTTCCTCCTGGTTTCTGTAGGGCTCTGTCTGTATACAGATTCAGAAGACCTGACCATATACTATAAAAACAGATTCCATTTCTGATTGATCTGAAGCTATTGAATGTACTAACAACTTCAGAATGCCTTTACTTTGTTGCAGTTACGGTATCAGAAGTGCTTAGTAGCCAGACCTCCTTCGCAGAAAATTCGACCACCACCTCCTCCTGCAGACTCGATGACCAGAAGAGTTACAACTAATGTAAAAAGAGGGGTGTTGTCGCTCATTGACACTTTGAAACAGAAACGCCCTGTCACTGAAATGCCGTAAGAGGATTCTTGTAACACTTAACCCAAAATATAGTAGCTACACTAAGGAAAATGAACTGATGATGCTCAGCCTTCCATTTGAAATTGCTGATGCTTTGTCTTCAGAGAATTTACCCGTATCAAAACAATGTTAGACAAGCATGTTCTCTTGTTCTTGCCACCATCGTGTGATATGAAAAGAAGCATGAATAATTTTTTTCCTGTCAGTGAGTTACATCATGAGCAATGGAAGGTCTATTTCTGATTGTAAATATTATGAACATTACCTAAATTCACACACACAAAGAATATGGCCACATCCCTCCTAGAGAACTAACGCTAAAAACCTTGGAGTGAATGATGCCTCAGTTAATAGTCTCACCATCTTGAGCTGGATTTGTCACAAGCAAACCGTAAATCCTACAGCACTTTTCCCTATTTTCAACACTGGAGTAGGTATTGAGTAGTTACCATTGACTTATAAATACCAAGTTTTATTTTCCAAAGCTGCACCTGTTAGTTTTAAAGTGTCTGTTGGAATCAGTCTAGGAACTATTTAACAACTTGCCCTGAAATGCTTTTGAACCATGCTAACCATATTTCATCTACTGTTTATATATTATGACCTTGGAGAAGAATTGTTTTAATACCAAACTGATGCTTAAGATATTGGAAAAGTTTTAAGCAATACAAATCAGGGTGCATCAGCTTCACCTGTTCATCCTCAGACAGACACATGTACCTGGTAGCTGTTAAATTTATTCTCCAAAGTCCTGCAGCATGCAACAAAAATGTGATTTGCCCCTATCCCAAGTCAGCAGAGCCCATCCAGAATTATGCAGACACGGAAACTATACCATTTTCCTTAGATAAAACTATGACCTTTTTCTCTGAACAAACTTTCAGGTGAAGGCCTTGTGACGTGACTTTTCCCGTTGGAATTTGTTGTTGAGTTGAAACTTACATGGGCACAAAGGAAGAACAATCACATTTTTGCTGCGTAGGCCTGTTTGTGTGCACCTCGTCCTGTGGAGTTTTGTTTTACTTTCATTCATTCCCTTTCTGTAGCAGCTTTCAACAACAGGTTGAAACAGCGATACAGTTGTTCTGACAATGGGGCTTCTTAGTAGTACAACCTAGTTTTGATATTTCTGCTTCAAAAAGGCCAATTATGTTGGTCCACACCACAGCAAGTTCCTTGGCAACAAACCATAAGGTATTTCCCCTCAGATTTGTGCATTTTAAATACACTTAGCTGTGCTGACACTAATTCTGAAGAGAGATTGTTAAGGTTGACAGATCCACAGTTTGACCAATTTGGTCTTTCTTTACATCTATTCACAAAGGGTTTTGTGTTTTAAGTAAATGCTTTCTTGTATTTCTTCCCTTAAAATTACTGTTGGTAGCTATATATGGGCACCCCTCTGATAAACGAATTAGGCTGAATATGAGGTAACTGAATACATTTCAGCTTTGAGCTTGTAGAACTACTATTAAAAACAACGGGAAAAAGCTGTTAAATGAACTGAGCCTATATGAAATGGGGCAACTGAGGGCCAGAATGAGATACCTAAGTGTAGCTTTGGGGGTAGCATTGGAGGAGGTGGCCCTGAAATACTCCTTAGGCCAGCGGTTGTTATTTATGTTCTTTTAGCAGTACCTAGCACAAAGGGACACCGACCTGGCTGAGACCTCTCACAGGATACTACAGGACAAAGATATACATTTAGCCAGCGGTTCCAGTTCAGCAAGGTGTTAAAAGTGCATATGTGATACTAAACACACACATAAAATTCAGGTGTATGCTTAAATCCCTCACCATAGTAGTTGTGTGCCTCATCCTGTTCTGGAGAATCAAGGTTTGAAGCAGCCTCCATATACATTTGCTCCTTCTGTCTCTGGCTTCTGACACTGGTGATACCAGTGAGTCACTAAGAGCAGGGCTCAAACTAACCCTTTTCCCACTTGCTTCCAAACAGCCATTAAATGATAACAGTCCCCAGCCATTACCAGTCTGGTTGATTCTGTAATCACTGGTCTGAAAACAGGAGGCTGTGTATTCATTATCACTCTCCTGAACCAATCACTTGCCATTTTTTAATTATAGGAAATACCCTGACAGTGAGCATTTCAAGTTTCAAATTGAAAGCATGCCAGGGTTGAGATTTACAACAGTCCCACATCAGTGAGGTTTAAATAATATAGCTATTAGCAATGTTCCCCAGATAGCCAAACCAAGACCTATTCTTCCTATAGAGTTGCTTTAAAAATCACATTAGCCACTCCCTGTTGTGGTGCAGTTTTGTCCAGACTGTTCAGTAGCAAAACAAATAAGAGTCATGTATGCAATCCCAAGAAGCAGTGAGGAGATGAAAGAGAAATGTTTGGAGGTGTCATTTGCAGATACTTTGTCTTAAAAATAGCCTGGTATACTTTACCAAAATACTGGCCAAGACCTTGATTCTGCAAAACGCAGGTACCTTAAACATGTGAGTAGTCTCTTTGGCTTCAACAGGATCTTTATGCTCTTCAAGGCTAAGTGTATAACCTAAGTGTTTGGAACAAGGGTTAATTTTTGCAAAGCCAAATATCTTAAAACAATAGGTTAAGACACTTTCTGCCATGGCCAAAAAGTATGTATGGTGCGTGTGAAAGAGCAAATGCTAGTGTTTTACCCAATGTTGTAGTGACACTTCAGTTATCTATGCATTTTTATATCTAGTGATCCTGTAAGCAGACAGCCCTGTTCACTATGTCTCATATGTCTCATGTCATTTTTAATTAACCTGTTAAATATAGCTTAAAATATTTTTATTTTATTTATTCTATTTTTACTGAAATATCCTGCTTTATTATGTTGACTTATCTTTACTAGAAATCGTCTCACAACTTTTCCCATGCTACGTAATCTCTGTGTGCTATAGGTTGCCTAAAAAGGTGGGTTTTGTAATTTGTAGTCAGTTTTATTGAAGTATGTAAAAGAAATAGCAAAAATGTGTAAAGCTGTCTTATTTTTTAAATGCAAATAGTAAGCTGAGGCAGATATCACATCTCATTAAAATGTTCCATTGAGGAAGCAAGATTTATTGGCACTGCAGAAGTCTGTAGTTGGAAGCCTTTCCTTTGAAAGCTATGGCAAGCCTTGGTGCTCTCTTTAGGTCTTATTTAAACTACTTACTGTTTCATTTAAAGAAAAAAAAGATTATGAGACACCTACCAGACAGTTGCACAGGAACAAAATAAATGTATAAAAGGGCACTGATCTCTCTTACAGTGAAGATTTCTTGGGGATAAATGCTGTATGCAGTTACTTCTACCACTTCAAAAAAAACAAAACAAAAATGTAAGCCCTTAAAAGAGGAATGGAAAGCTGTGGAATGGATTGAGCTTGTTGTGTGCCATAGACAAAGATTTTAAAGCCCTTTTCTTTTAATTGTATCAAATGTTCCATAAATCATTGAAGCAGGGATATGAAAGTGTTAGTAAATCACTTGTGGAAAATGGAGCTATTCTTATTTCAACAGCTGATATTGGCTCAAGCGTTAGAGCCCACACCTTAGTACCATTACTCCTTTATGTGGCAGCCTTAGTTATCTTAATACATTGCTAAAACCTGTGCTGTACAGTCAGCAGAAGTAGGTTTGATTTATTTTAATATTTGCAAAAGAGAAAGGAAAACACACCCACTGTTTATCAGAGTTCAGTGTTACATAAAGCAGCTGACTGAATCTGAAAAGGATTTTTTTTTTGTTGCTGTTGACCACTTTTACACATTAAATGTAATCTGTTGTGAGAATAAATTTAGCTGCATAAAATGTCTCGTCTCTCTTGTCACTGGTCCATGATATTTGGAAACTGGTACACTTCTTGGGAAATGCCGTTCAACAGCATTGGACACTTCCTTTGTCCTAAGGAAGGAAAGAGATTCAATGCATTTTGAATTCTTTGGTGGTAACTTAAAAGGATTAAATTAATCTCTTGGGTTAAACAGAGGATGGCAGTAATATTCCTACCACTATACTGCCTTTAAGAAGTCATAGAAGACTTTACCCAGAGGGATGGGAGGATGGTGAGAAGGGAAGAAATTATAATGAATTTTTAGTGAGCTAGTGAACCTTTCACCTACAGCTTGCTGCTGTTATTCACGTTCACAGTAAGGACTTCTGCAGGAAAAAGGTAGTGTCAGGATTCAAACATGCACACCAGGCTTGGAGAAGGAAAGGAATAAGCAGGACAAGCTCAGCTGCTCAGGGCAGGTCTGTTCTTTCCTGGAGCAACAGGATGGTTCTCTCTGCTTTTCCCATCACTGTGACTGCAACAGCCAACTTGGGAAAAGAGGAGGAGCTGACTGGCCCCAAGTCAGGCCTGGAAATGTTGTAAGTACATCAGGAACAGGAATGACACTGAAGGATAAAATGGAAACAGACTTCATTGCTGGGCTAGGGGCTGGGCAGACATAGCAATGAAAGTTCATGTTGCTTAGCTTTGGAGAAGCTGGCCACGCACAGTGGTTTGATATAAGTGCACACACCTGGGAAGGGTACGACTGAGTGACAGTTAAGGTTTTCAAAAATTCCCATCAATTTTTAACCTGCGGGGCTGATGATACTACATATCTGACAGATCAACTGTAAATGTGTCTTTTGTACAGTCCTGAGGAGAGGTCAAGACTTTCACCTTTAGATTTTCAGCACAAAGTATAGCACTAACGTAGGCATTTAATAGTTGTCATTTTATTTTGCATTCACTAGGAATTGGGAAGTTTAGCAAGTTACCAACTGCAATAGAAAAAAATCATTTCTGTTAATATATTTATGAAGTTAAAGTATAATGATAGAAAGTTATCCTCTAAACCTGAACCTATTTTAAAAATACTACATAATACCTCTGAATTGGCTAGCTGAGGTCAATGTTTAGAGAGAAATTCTAAATGAAAATATCCAGCAATTATTTCAAACACAGCAAAGAAGGCTTGAAGTTATTCTTTGCTCCAAGTTCAGAAAAGACCTGTGAACACTGAAAGAGTTAAGATAACCTACTGTCAAGCACATCTCATCTCTTCTAGCTTTAAAAAAAACTTCTAAAAATACTGAAACAGCTAATAATAAATGTTATGTTCCTAAACATTAACAACGTTTTATAGATTGAAAATACAATCTACCAAGCAAGATCCAACAATATATTAATTACAAATTAGAATGACTGAGAACATTAGATTTTAGACAAATCTCAAGAACAGTGTATTTTAACTTGATCTTCACAAAGAACTAGAAATGCTTTTTGGCATTCTTTCCCTAACCCACATGTCATTTGGCTCAAACAATTTAAATCGATCTCCAAGACATGCATAAACCAAAAATTGTTCTGCAAGTCATTATTTAAATGAACAATATTGGTACATAAAAGAAATCACATTTGTTAGATACAACATAAGTGCTTGTCAGGTGCAGTTTTCACCATGAACAAAATGAGTGGTAAGAAAGTGGTTCAATGAGAATGGGGATTTTTCAGGCCTGAGGAGTAAATTTTAAAAGCCATGGCAGCACGATGGCCTCATGTTTGATATTAATTCAGCCTTCATTTTTTAGCATCCGAGTACACGTGCACTTTTAACATGAGGTTTTCTGTTCACTGTTTCTCTGAATGTTCCAGCTGTTGCTTATTAAAGTACATCTGCTAGGAAACAAGGACACATTTTTAAGACTATGTATGTACTTGTGTGTTCCCCAGATGCCTGCATGAAATATCTAAGCTGGGAACATACACCTTCGGCATTCACAGAAATCCACCTCTAATTTTAGAGAAGTAGCCTGGCTTGTTTTGACTTTCATTCCCATTCACCAGTGGCATAAATAATGATGCTGTTATTTTAGCAAACTCAGAAATAACCACTTGAAAGCTGAAGTTTGTAATGAAGCACTTTTTAGAATGCTGTATAAAGCTTGTGAAAATTAAATCGTAAGTTCCACATTCTGGGATAAATGTAAAGAGTTTTGGTGAAAGGCACATTCCAAATTTTGTCACATTTTAAAATGATAATTAGCTATATAAAACTTCTTGAGCTCCCCCCAGTGATTTGCATAATCTCTAGATGTGTTATATGTATTTGACATTAAAAATCTAAAGTTGGATTAAAGCAACTACACAATGTATTGACCCTTTCGCAAAATAGTCCCATGCTATATCCATAATATCCATGAAAAGGGTACAAACTGTAAAGGATCTCTATAGGTAGCTAGTGCATGCTGTAGTTTAAGTGTAGAAGATCACCTACACAGAAGTCTTTAAATAAATATAAGTGATTATATCTACAAACCGGTAACAGGAGACCATCTTCAAAGCCATGGTTGAGGATGTTTAATCACAGCTGAAGGTAATGTTTCTTTCGATTTCATCAGTCTTTTTGACACAGACGGTACAAGCAAGCCATGTGTTGAGCTCTTTATTCCAATCCAGTGATAGTAATAATGGTGAGCTGCAATTCTGGATTTGTTGCCTTGTGGGTTGAAGTATGGCACCATTACTGGAGGCAGAACTATCTCTACAGGTTTTAGTACAACCATTTTATCTTCTGCCCGTGGCTTAATATTTGTCCGTTTCTCAAGCACTTTATTCATAGTTGATGGATTAGGTATGTTCTTCAACATCCTAGGCAGGGAGGAGTTTGAGACAGGTTTGGTCAGTTTCTTCCCTTGAACAGAACTGTTTGTTTGGCTCAGATTGTTTTTCTCAGAATTACTAATTGCTTTTGATACTGAAATTTCAGAATTAGATTTAACAGATACCATCTCTCGGCCCAAGAATTCTGCAATTTTTGTTTGTGCTGAGATATCTTTACGCATGTTTCTTTGCTGCACTACTTTTGATTTCTTCTTCTTTTTCTCTTCTTTCTTTGAGGGTTTTTCTATTTCAATGCCTTCTAATAGTCCTTTGGCTGCAGCACGAGCCAAAATGTCTTTAACAGATACAGACTCAGATGGGTCCTTCTGAAAATTAAAGAGGAGACAGTAGTGAGCTAAGCCACAATATTATTTTAATCCCTTAGTTAGATACCTTATAGCTATTGTCAAGTTCAGCATTATCACCCCACTGTATGTTCTAGATAAAAGAATACAAATATATGTAAAGCAACAAACAGAGGTCATTAATGACCTAACTTCACTACAGAATCAAGCAGGAGAACTCAAGTCATTTGTGAAAAACACTGCTAACAAAGTTCCTGAATAATACAATGGGAATAAAAAACAAGTATTGCCTTGCATTCAAAGTAATGTGTTCATGCTTTTCAAAAACATTTATGGTTTTGTACAGTGATGTTCAGTCTCCAGTCCATGAGCTAGAACCAGCACAGAGCCTCATCTGGCCAGCAGGGCTCCACACAGGTTTGGAAATTTGGCAGCAGGGGAATGGTGGCAATTAACATTGCCACTGCTCCCCCACCACCAAATTTCCAAGCCCCGTAGCCAAATGACATGGCCCTGTGAGCTGGAACAAGCCAGGGCATCAGGCCTGATCTGGCACATGCAGGGCTGGGGTCCCACACTGCATTGTGCCTGTTTGTCAACCTGCTGCTGGAACATGTCTTCAGGCTGACCCCATGCACCAGATCTAACCTATGGACCAATTCTACATCACTCATCCAGCCCACAGCCCAGAAAGGTTGGGTACTAGTGGTCTAGTGCTTGTAGGAAGGAAATGGGATTCTCAACTGTTAGGTTTGCAGCTCCCAACAGATTTGCTGTGCAACAAGTCACTGAAGCGCAACTTAATCCAGCACTGGTGAGGTCACAGCTGGAGAACTATGTCCAATTTTAGGGCCCTGAACTACAGAAAGGATGTAGACAAATTGGAGAGTCCAGTGGAGGGCTACAAAAATGATTAGGGGGCCAGGGCACATGACTTATAACTTGTGTTGCAGGAACTGGTCTTATATAGTCTGGAGAAGACTGAGGGGATTTAATAGCAGCCTTCAACTACCTGAAGAGGGTGTCCAAAGAAGATGGAGCTAGACTGTTCTCAGTGGTAGATGACCAAACAAGGAGCAATGGTCTCAAGTTGCAGCAAGAGAAGTTTAGGTTAGATCTGAGGAAGAACTTTCTCACTAGGAGAGTAGTAAAGCACTGGAAGAGGTCACCCAGAGAGGTGGTGGAGTCTCCATCTTTGGAGGTTAAGACCTGGCAAAACAAAACCTTTGCTGGGACGATCTAGTTGGGGACAGCCCTGCTTTGAACAGGGGGTTGGACTAGATGAACTCCTGAGGTCCCTTCCAACCCTAATTTTCTATGATTCTATGTTTGCCCATGCCCTGTTTGAAAATATCTCCACAGTATTTCAGAATATAGAACAAATGTTTGTAAAGCCTTTGAGATCCTAAGCTGAAATATTAATAAGGGTAATACGACAGTTACTAGCAGAAGTGTACCCAATGTGGAAAGTTCTTCTAAGCCATAAATAAATTACACAATTGCCAAGGCAGATTAGTGAAAAAACAGAAAGTTATCCACATACCAAGGAAGGAAAAGGTTTATTTAGACTTGCTAAGGAAAACTGTCATGTAAGTGAAGAACAGAAATTTTAAACTAGACACCTAACAGGGCATGTTTGTATCATGGCAGCAGCAAACCCTGGCCAAGCTATGCCCAACACAAGCTACCTACCTGCTGCCACACACGGGTTCCAAACCTGGAAATCTGCTAGCAAAGATGCACCAGGGCATCTCTCCATGGCTGTTTTTGAGCCCTCTCTCTCCAGTGCGTTTGAGAGGGGACATTTCTGGAGGCAGCAAGCAGGTAGGCAAGTCATACCAGGGCTATCACAGTGCATGATTTTTCCTGCCAGGGAAATGGTAGAAGTCTTAGCCCTTTTGAAGAAAAAGAAAATCCTGCATTTACAGGAAATTATTTAACAGGGGGTTTTTTTCACTTGGACTTCTCTTGTTCTGCTAGAACCCTTCAACTTTTAATCTTCCCATGAGTCGAGCCTTTCATACAGAGTATTGCTGTAATACATTGGGAGAGGGACTGAATGATCAAATAGAGCTCACATCTGTTAGTTCTAAGATTAATCACCTGAACAGCTTTTCCATAAAAATAAGAGGCCCTCCCTGCCCCCAGCAGAAAAAATACAAGCTTACATTTTCCCCATCTACTTCACCATAGGGACCTTAAAGTGGGTTGTTAGTCACACTCCTGTCAGTCCAGAGGAACACTGAACCGGTATTGACACAACTGTATTACTGGGCCAGTCATTGTTAAACAATTTCAAAGGGTGACACTGCAAACACTACAAGGGTTATGCTTACTATGACAAAGTGATTGGGCATTACAATCCCAGTCCTACGCTAGCACAATCACAATGCAGAACCAGTGGCCAAATTGGATGTTACTTTCAACTTAATGGCAACAGAGAAAGTTCCATGTCCAGCACACTTGAGTAGTTTTACTAGAAGCTGAATTGTGGCTTACCTTGTGCCCATATAAGCTTGTGTTTTGGAAAGAGCCTTATTCTGAAATATGTAATTAAGTGAGACACAAGCATTTCTAGTTTCAAAAATACTCATTAGAAAAGATCTAAGATTTATTAATTTAAGATGAAAGCAGCTTTGAGTAGGAGAAATTAGATCTCTTTTCAACAGGATCCTTCATTTTCTTTCATTTCAAAAGGAAACCATTTAAATTTTAAAGAGAGGACACTATGTGTAAATGGATAGTAAATAATTTGTACTGCAGGCAGCATGCAAAAGATTCCATTTAATCTAGGAAGATTCCAAGCATCTCTGTGTGATCTAAATCTAAATTAATACTTTGTAAAGAAGCATCATTCAAATGATGCCAGGGGCTGTTTTGGCCTGAGTGGCTGGGCAAAATACTCGGATTCTTGTAGGTTGCTTCAGTTAGCAAGAGTTTATGGTGGTCAGGTATCTACAATGCAATTGTATTCTAATCATAACATCAAGCCTCTTTCCTTTGGCATTCTCTAAAAACCTTCTCTCTCTGCCTTTCCTCTGGGTCAAGCTACTGAGCTTGCTCAGGCTGTGTCAAGCTTTGTCTCTTTCTGCGTGCTTGCTCTCAGCCATCAAATGCTCCTTCCCAAAACTATTCCTAGCCAAAAGCCCTCCACTCAGAGCATACACAATTCTGCACAGCTCTGTATTTGTTTCAGGAGGAAATATGCTTAACTATCTCTTACAGACAATTTTAAACAAGCAACATTTAAATCTATCGGTTTCAGCAGTTTAACCCAACCTATAACAGGGCTGCAATCCCTGTGACATGACTCCATTCCACAGTCATGTTAAGAGAAGATTCATCTGTTGGCAAGTCTTTGCAAGTTATGCAGGAGTGCTAGGATCCTTCCTGGGCTCTGTACATGTAGACAAACAGGATGACTGATTGTTTTAACTGACTCTAAGCACTGGCTCCAAACAACATGCTTTAAGCAGTGTGGCTACCGCACCTTGGTGACAGTGGAGAAAGGTCACAGGAAAAGAATGATACTAGCTGCACACCAGACCTATTCTCCCTAGAATACTGCTGTGATAAAAAAAAAGATCAAGCAGTAAAAGACTGCATTGGTCACACGCCCTTCTCTTCAATGCACCAACACCAAATACAAAGGATGTGCTACTAAGCTTCCAAGATGTTTCACTCTCATTTGCCTCTCGATAAACTGTTGCCTTGCGTCCTTGTCTTTAGTCTTGTTTGTCCAGTGAACACTCTGAGACAAAGGGGGCTAAGCTGAAGTCAAGTTACTTATAAATCAATATACAAAATGCTTCATATATTAAAAGATATTCAGAAATAAATATAATCTATGAAATATTTCAATTTAGTATTTTTTTTCAATGCAGACCCGTTCTGCTTCTTTAGGGCTTACCTCTCTTGCTAGGACTGCTAAGAAACAACAATTGGAAATCTCAGATGGCTCCATTTTGAAGAACGAATCAGAAGAGATCTCTGAGTTGCAGCAGAGAGGAAGAACAGGTGGACTAAGCCTAGGGAATATTACAGATCAGACAATTCTAATGGAAAAGTTCACATTATAATCGCAAATAAATAGAGACACTAAATATCAGTTTGAAGTACAATCCCTAGGTTAGAATCTTTTACAGACATGCATTAACATTTAACCATATTATTCTTCATTTAATAAACACAGTTCTGATTCAAAACAAACCGAGTCCACTAGAATTCTACATTTTTCAATAAGGTATACTGACCATTTGCAAACAAAACTATTAACAGAATTAATAAACACTCTTAGATGTCTTTTCTCATGGCTACAATTACATAGGCACCCTGGAAGGGAAGCTAGGGCCTGGATCCTTCTACTCAATGTTTCATAGGTGGTAGGGTCGGAAAGGACTAAGCAGATCACCAAGTCCAACCCCCTGCCAGGTTTCCCACTGCCCTCTAGTCTAGCCAATGAATGAATAATAAAAAGAGCAGTAGTTCCGCTTCACGAGGTGAGGACTATATAATGCCTAACCTGTGGCCGGGTAGTTAGAGCTTTGTCTAGGTTCAAAGCTACATGTGGGTCTCCTTTTTTCCTGAAAGAGTGCTTTAACCAGGGTGGATAAAAATCAATGTTTTTTTGTTGGGTTGTTTTTTTTTAAATGGATTTTTTATTTAAATAGGATTTTTTTTATTTATTCATATTATTTGAGTTTTTAAAAAAACTAAACATATAAAGATAGTTTTAATTTAAGATATGTTAAAGCTCAGAGATATCATGGAATAGGGATTATAACTTCTAATTATATACTATTTGAGAGAATATATTCATGTAATCTTTTTAGAAGTTTTATAAATAGGCCAAAACAGGCCATGGACTAAACGTGAGGGGCCCAATCTTATGGGGTTCCCAGAGGCTCCTCCATAGATTAGTAAAGATTAAAGAAAACTACTCTACCCAATGGGACTTAGGGCTCAATCTAAAAGATCCCATTGAGCATCTCTGTGATGCTTAGTTTCAGTTCTCAAACAGTGGATTCATCTCCAGAGATATAGGCAGACAAGGTTCTTAGGGTAGATGTGATATCTTTTATTAGACCAGGGATTTTCAACCTTTGCCAGAATTGTACCCAGAAGGGGTACACTCCTTAAAAAGGGGGAGGGAGGAACACAGCAGCCGGATCTGGAATGGGGGGGAGGTGGGAGGGTTTGCATGTGTTAGCACAGGGTGGTGGATGGTGGCACATGAGCTCCCTCCATGCCCTCCCCCCACCCACTGTGTTCAGCCAGTGGGCCAGCGCCTGTGCAGCTCACAGAGGGAAGCTGCTGCCCTCACCCCCCTGCTTCTGGGAAGTGGAGGCACAGGGTGGTGGTTGGGGGCACATAACCCCTTTCCAAGTGTACCCGGGCGTACACATACCCCCAGTTGACAACCCCTGCATTAGACCAACTAATTAGTTGCAAAAAATGTTCTTTGTAGGCTTTCGGGCACAAATGCCCTTCTTCAGGCATAGGGATAGTTTGTCATCTCCAGAGATAACAAACTCCTTATTAACAGCAGTCTACGGAGATGAGAGATAACAGACCTGATTACCTACCCATCAGCCCTCTTGTCTCTCTGAAGTTTGTATACACATAGTCAAGCCCTTACCTTTCTCTGAAAGTGCAAAGTTTCATGAAGTTAAATGAATAAAAGG